TACAAATGTTTATTTCATAATAACTGAAAGTTATGTGATGAGGTGGGGGAGGATGGGAGATTATCTGCAGAGGGGCATGAAGAACTATTGGCAGTGATAGATCACTTGTCTGATAATTATGAGGTTATAAAGTTGTGAAAACTCAAACTGTACTTAAAACAGATATAAAGTTAGCTTAAAAAGAATAAATACTCTAGTACGAGTTCTGCTAACAACTAGCTCTGTGTATTCTTGTGTAAAGAGCTTAGCTCTTTGCATCTTGTTCTTATTGGAAAAATGGAGACAATAGGTCACTTACCTTCCTTGTTCAGTTATTGTGAAAATATAAGTGAAATAATTAATTTTGAAATGCTTTTAAAATAGTCATATGAGTGGAGGCGCTATTCCTTTTTGAGTCAAGAAACGCAAGAACTATAATAACCAGTGATGAACTAATATGTATATTTTGGAGTTTATTTGCAAGTTATCTTTTAACTTCGTGGAATGTGGGCTGTGTCATTTCCTTTCTTTGTCAGTAAAATGAAGGGGTTAGACTAGATCAGAGGTAGAAATCCCAAGAAGCTCAGAATCTTAAAGCTTTTAAGATATATGGTTTGCTCATTTTTTTTTTTGTTTGTTTGTTTTAGCCTCTGCAGTGTTGGCCTTTCCAGCATTAATTTAAAACATGACTTGTTGCCAGTGTTTAAGTCTGGAGGTTTCACATAAAGTTTTGGGTTTCCAGCTTTTACTTAGAAATTAATGTTGCTGACAAAACTGAGTCAACATTCTTACATGATAACAATTTGGAGTTTCATAGTAGCTATCCCTTTGTATGGGTCATGCTCATTAGTTTCCCATAGTATCCACTACACTCTGTTGCCTTTTCTGTTCTGTGTAGTATCGATTAAGAAAGTTAATTCATTATTGAATACTCTCTGTTTGTTAGGTATTATTCTAGGGTATGATGATCCAGAGGGGAACCAAACAGACAAAATGTTTAAACTCATAGTGAATTGTAAATATCCTTCTACATTTCTGTAAAAAATTAAGGAGGGAAAGTTAGACCAAGCCTGCTATATATTTCAGGGAAAATGGTAGAAAGTATATTTCTTTGTGTAAGTAAAAAAAAAAAAAAATTCCTACATATTTACTAGGCAGAGTGTGTCTGTGTCAAAATTATCCTCCTTGCTTCACTTAGTAGATCAGATCCTTTCTTTCTGTGATTCATTAAATGCATGGATGAGGTTATCATAGTGTTTCACAGAATGCCAAAGGCAGAGAGACTGGCACAGGCCAGTTAGATTTCCTTACCTCTGCTTAAACCATCCTCTGTGCAGCTTTGGGTTTTTCTGTTTAATCAAGATCTTGGGATGCAGCTGGGTCTGAAATAAGCACCTCTATTCAGTCATCTCTGTTGGCAGCCTCTTCTATAGTAGCTTGGATCCTATCCAGGCTGAGAGTCAGTACCCTGATACATGTGGTGAACCTGGACCAAGAAGTAGCTTGTATGCTGTTGTCTCCCCTCTATCTTCTAAGCAAATAGTTTGCACCTCTATTTGGTCAACTACATGGTGTTAAGTGACTGACATCTTAAGAGTGACAAATACTACTAAGCTTTTGATTTTGATCTCATGGTTTAAATCCTTCTCACTTACAAACAAACTACCCTTTTATAGGCACAAATGCTCAATAATGTGGTTCCATCTATATTAGGATTAGTAATTCTTTGCTTTGCTTTTATATTTATCATGGTCATAGGTTTCAAGACTCTGGACTGTCTTTTCTCAACAAGTTGTGCTTGCTGATTATGTGGTAGGTGACCCATTTCACTCATTCTGGCTGGAAAGGTCATCTTGCTACCTATGCTGTTCCCATCTGCTACAGCACTGCTCCCATCTGGTGGCAACTATCTCAAATTGCAGCATCATCTACCTTCTAAAAACAGGTCCTTTAGTGGTTCCAGGCATCACACATTGAAATGCCTTTAAAATGTGTCATATATGGGTACTGGGTGGGAGAATATCCCATCAGCTCTTCAGACAAGAAAGGCAAGAACTAATATGTACGTTTTGGAGTTAATTTGCAAGTTCTCTTTAACTTCATGGAACATGGTCTGTGTCATTTCCATTAGCTATCAGTAAAATGAAGGGGTTAACCATGTCCAATAAAGAAATACCATTTCTACTTTTTATTCTGCAGCATTGTCAGAGGTCTCCTTAAAAGGATATTACATGTTTTTTCTTTACCAAAGGTGAACTATATGGTTTTTGGACAGTCAGGGGACTGATACTGCTGTAGGTTCTGCCTATAGCTTGCATTGAGACTCTTGAGCTTCGCTCGGTTTCTCTACCCATATAGCAAAATTCTTGAACTTAATGCTATCCAAGAGTACTACTAGTAGAGAGTGTGTAGTGTATGATATTTTAAAGTATCCAAAGTATCTGTCAAGTGAATACCCACTTGGACTATGTACAAAACAATTATGAATATAAGTAGAAATTTTATAATTTATACTACCACTTTCCCTAGTTCTAATATGCATCAGGGTCTGGGGACAGTGGGACATACCTGTAACCCTAGATACTTGGCAGGCTGAGGCAGTAGGGTCATAAGTTTGAGACCAGCTAGGGCACCTTAGCAAGACCCTGTCTCAAAATGAAAAAAGGCTGGGGATGCAGTGATAGAGTACATATGAGGCCCTGGGTCCAATCCCCAATATCACTGGTAGAAAAGAAAAAAAATAAAGTATATACATCCATGGTTTTAATAATTTTGGGGAGAGAAAAAGAAGATAAATACTGCTGCATTAAAATTACATATTTAGTTACAAGACAAATTCTGATACCCTAAAATTTAAATATAAATATTATGCATCTTAGAATTTAGGAATTTGGGGGCTGAGGTTATGGCTCAGTGGTAGAACACTTGCCTAGCATGTGTGAGGCACTGGGTTCTGTTGTCAGCACTGCATATAATAAACAAATACTCAAAATTCTAGAATTAAGATTGATAATGAGTAATGTATGATAAGAAGATGGGAAGTGGTATTGAGATATCAGGATTAGAGACATGGTGTTTAAAATTAAAGACTGGATGATAAAATTTCATGTTTATCTGAATAAGTATACAAAAGTACAGGTTCTGGTAGATTGCTACCATAATGCACATTTAGAACCTCTAATTTCATTAAAAACGTTCTTTCACAGAATTATGTGTGTGTTTTATGAAAACACAAAACAGTGCTTCTGAGTAAGACTTTTTTGGTTGTGAGGAATAGAATCCTATTCAAGTTAATTTGAAAAAGTGTAATTACTATAAAGATAAAATAGGAAATGCTATAGGCATTAATAGACAGGTACTGAAGGGCCATTGAGCCTCAGAGGAATTAGAATGGCACCTGAGACTTATTTCTGTAGAATAGCTATTTATTGATCTACAACAAATTTGCAGGTGATTGCTAGCCCCAACACCCAGCTCCACTGAGCTGCATCCTCAATACATAACCTCAGCCAAGTTCCCATACTGATGAGTTTTCTCTGGGTTCACACTACCAAATTAGTGACTGGCTCTGTACAAAGAATAGCCTAGTGATTTTTTTTGCTGCCAAGAGTAAATGGACAACATATGCAAGCTAAATGATGAAGGTATTCAAGCAGGCCAATGGATGCAGTGTTCAGTTTAACTGCTGCTCATTCCAAAGCCTTTGATTTTGTTAGTCTTGCCATACCTTGTCTAGATAATTCTCTTAATAAGGGCATAGAACACCTCATGGTGCTTTGGGAGTGAGGTTGAGGTTAGGAGTTCTAAGAATTTGTGGAACTTTACACTCTAAGAAATTTAGAGCATTTGGAAATTTCTTTTAGAGTTATATAAATTTCTGTTAATGAACCGGAAACTGTCTTTTAGAGAAGGGTTAGTGCAGATGTTAAAACAGTCTTCCCAATAATTTGAGTCCTAATGTCTGCTATGTAGAATATCATTCTTATACCTGTATCTTGGATCTACTCAATTACCCATAAATTAGGGAGGGCATAAGGAATCCTCAAGGTCTACTGTTAGATTTGAATTAGGGATAGAGTGAGGAAAAGTGAGAAGAAATTGAAATTTTTGAAATAAATCAACAGCTGTTTGTGTGTGTGTGTGTGTAGTAGTAGTAGTAGTAGTAGTAGTAGTAGTAGTATGGAGGATTGAACCCAGGGGTGCTCTACCACTGAGCTACATCCCCAGCTCTTTTTTAATTTTTAATTTTGAGACAGGGTCTCACTAAGTTGCAGAGGTTGGCCTCTGACTCGTGATTCTCTTGCTGCAGCCTTGTGAGTTGCTGGGATTATGGCTTGTGCCACTATGCTCAGCTCACTTGACAACTCTTTTTTTAAATATCTTTATTAGTTATTGATGGACCTTTGTTTATTTATTTGCTTATATGTAGTGATGAGAATTGAACCCAGTTCTCATATGCTATGCAAGTGCTCTACCACTGAGCCACAATCCCAGCCCAACAACTCTTTTTAATAGCAATTATTGAAATAACTTTCTAGCCTTTCTGAGAGGGAAAGAGTACTGGACTTACATGTAAAAAATAAATCTTGATTTGAATCAAATATCTTTGAGCCTTTGTTTTCATAGGAAAAAATAACATCTAGCCTCAGGATTGTGGTAAGAATTAAAAGAGTATCAGAAAGCTTAGGATGGAGGTTAGAATGTAGTTAGGTCTTTTTTCTTCCTCTGTGTACTCATCGGTTATTTGTAGGCTCTTTGAAAGATAATTACTTTTCTTCCTTGATCCCTAGATACATGTTAGGAACATTTCTTGCTCCTGAGTCCCACAGATAATATTTCTTGAGTTCTAAGCATCTAATACCTCATGGCAAATACCCTTTTAGGCCAGGCCAACCTTAAGAACTGACTGATGGTGACATTGGTACCATTAATGATAGCAGTACCACCTTCCAGCCAAATAGTCATCTGAATGGCTCTTTGAATATGACTCAAAAGAGCTTACATGTGTATTTCTCTCGCAGGTGGATTTGCTATCGTGTTTCTGGTGAGGACAAGCAATGGGATGAAATGTGCCTTGAAACGCATGTTTGTCAACAATGAGCATGATCTCCAGGTGTGCAAGAGGGAAATCCAGATAATGGTAAGGCTGCCCCTTGGACCTGGGACTGCTGGCTTAAAATAGGGGGTAGAGACTGTGTCGTCTTATAAGAAAGCCACGGGGGTGTGTTCCCTTTTCTGAGATGGCAGAGGCCTCTGGACAAGTGGGAGTGAAGAGCCAGGAGATACAGAACCCTGTTCCTGCCTTGGTCATCTCAGCTGGAATTTGAGGAGAAAGGAGCATATTAGAGAACTGAACAATTTTTAGGTCAGAGAAGTAGTTTGGGGCCCTGGGAAAAGCTTATTTAATAAACCTGTTTCCCAGAAATTATTTGTGGCATACAACCCGGAAACCCTGACTTTCCAGTGAGCCTCCTCTTCTAGTCTTGTCCTTTTATCAGTTAGCAATCCCCAATCTGGGCTCCTCAACACTCCATGAATGTATCCTTATACAACTTTACATTTTGCACATGTATTTATTTCTACCTGGAGTGCTTGTAAGGTAGAAACCTTACAAATATGATTCCATTTTTGAAAGTCCAAGAACAGTCCAAATTGATCTATGGTGCTAGAAATAAAATTGACCAGGAAGTGGCATATGAAAATTTTCTAGGTCATGCAAATCTGTTGTTTAGGTAGTAGTCACACAGGGGTATATAAATATTAGAACTCAACTGAATATATTAAGATCTGCAATTTATCATTAATAATTCCTCAGTTTTAAAAAAGCATACTAACTTTTCGAGATTCAGATGAATATTCTGTTTAGAGAAAAAGTCTATTTCCCTATGTGCTTCTGGATGAAATAATATGATGTCTTGAAAACAATCAGTTGGTTTGGAAGAAAACAAGATTGATTGGTCATGAGTTGATGATCAAAGCAGAGTGATGGCTGCAGGAGTAGGTTAGAGTAGTCTCTTTCTTTTACCTTGGTTTGACATTGTGCTTAATAAAAAAACCCTTTAAATATGTAGTCTGTTTTTCCTTTGTTTTCCACAATACTTTTGTTTATACTAATTATATTCCTTAACCTGTTATGTTTTAAGTCATTCTGCTATCAGAAAGTAATTACTTAAAATCAGGAACTTTATACTCCCACACACTGCTTGACGTAGAATAAATGTCTTAATAAATTTTAGAAGAAGTGAATATATAAATAATGGTAAGAGCAGATGCATATGTTCACCCAGAGATGATTCCTTTGTATCCTGAATCTTAATATTTTTGTAAAGAGTTTCAAAAACTGCATGGGGCTGTTAGTGTGTACATTCCACCAGGCTTTGCTTGCCTTTGTCCACCCCTTGTGGGTTCACTCGCCCAGTGGCAGCTTAGAGTAACTAGTTGGACTGCAGTTGGGCTACTTACAGAACTCAGGATTTTAGAGAGCTGGGCACTACTTTGGATTCTACAAAGCTGAAACTATTTGGGAAGGAACTGCCACCATTGCAGACCAAGCCACCCACCCACTGAGGCTCGAGACCATGTGGATACGTGGATCTATCTACAAGGTGCCAATTTCCTTCTAGTTCCCTTCAGTGCAGCTTCAAGTTACCATTCCTATATTCTCCTTCTTCCTCATCCTCCCCTTACTTGCAGTATGCTTGCTCAGTGCTCACCCACTTTCTTTGCTTTGCTGTTTTCTTCTGCTTAGGATGCTCTTCTCAATCATTTACTTGTATTAGAAAAGCAATCACATTCTCCCATCATTTAGGAACATGTTTGAGGACTTACTCTATACTGGCCAGGCATTCTAGAGGAGGAACTAAGAAGCACAGGCCCACAAGTACCCACAAATTAATGGACCTGACCTGATTAGGAATTAATTTACATGGGTTCAGGTTCAGGCCCAGTCATACATTGGCTGTTAGAGTTTTGTTTTTAGTTCAGTTTATATTTTTCAAAAGCTTACACAGTCAATTAGTCAATCTTAGCACTGAGATTAGAAAAGAAAAAACAATCAAGTAGTCCCTATAAAATCCTCATAGGACATTTTAGGGTTCCAGAGGTAACCATAATAGTTGAGTCTTTTGATGTATTTTAGAATAACATGCTACTATTGCTTTTCCTTCCATTTTATCACCTGTGGGAAGTAAAGATTTAGCTCTCTTTCATCCCCTATATAGCCCTCTCCCTAAATACATTATTTTCATGCCCCTTTCTTTCAAAATACCAGTAAATTTTGGCAGTATGTTGGTATATTAGTATTAGTTTTTACATTATTATATAAGAAAACTATTCCTGCTTAATCTTCTAGTAGACTATGATTACCAAACCTTTCCCATTTAACTTTTTTTTACCAGAATTAATAATTATCTTATTTTTCCTCTTTTGATCTCAGTTTTCTCTTTACTTTTGACAGTGTAAAAATAAAACTTCCTAAGTTATGTAAATCACTTTTTGAGTATTTAGATATATTTAATATTATATCTGTTTTTAATCATTTGAAGATTTCTCTCCCAGTCTTCTGACTTGATGGAGTCAGAACTGGCTACCTCATCTTGAAATCTCCTAGGCATTCCCTTTGCCTTCTTTTTTTCCTCTTTTGCTTTACTTTCTCATGTTGGTAGAGCTGGTCCTCCAGTAGCTTCTTGATTATGGATTATACTTTTGGTATCAAGTCTAAGAAATCTTTGCCTAGCTCTCAATTCTGATAATTTCTCCTATTTTTTTAATAAAACTTTTATAGTTTACATTTTACATTTAAGTCCATGATCTATTTTGAGTTCACTTTTATATAAGGTGTGAAATTTTGGTTGAGGGTATTTTTAAATTTTTTTATTTTTGCTTATGGATGTCTGGTTGTTCTAGCACCATTTGTTGAAGAGGTCATATTTCCTCTATTATTTTCATTAAAAATTAGCTCAACTTAGTTAAAAGCATCTATTTTTAGACCCTTCTCTATTCTGTTCCATTTGAGCTGTTTATCTCTCTACCAATACCACACAACCTTGATTACTGTAGTGTATAAGTCTTGAAATCATACTGAGTTCTCTTATTTCCCCCCAATATTGTTTTACCTGTTCTAGTTCATTTCACCTTTTGTATAAATTTTAGAACAATCTGATTCAGAATATTTATGTCTATAAAAGGTATTGCTGGAATTTTGATAGGAATTACATTAAACCTGCATTTCAGTTTAGCAAAACCTGACGTCTTTTCTATGTTTAGTCTTCCAATAAATGAACATAGTAAGTCTCTTCATTTATTTATATCTTTGGTTTCTTTCATTATCATTGTGTAGTTTTTCAGTACACAAGTCTTGACTGGGGATATACCTGGGAGTATAGTGGCATTTGGCTTGCCTAGTATTCTTGGGGTCCTGGGTTGAATTCTCAGTACCAAAAAAAAAAAAAAAAAAAAGAAGAGCACAAGTCTAACACATGTTTTTAGAATCATATCAAGTTGTTTAGTTTTGGTGATTATAAATTATTGTTATTGTGTTTTTATGGTGCAGGCGATTAAACCAGGGCCTCACTCATGCATACTGCATTGCACCTCCACTAAGCTCCACCCCAGCCCCATGTGTTTAGTGCCAATAGGTAAAAATTAACTTTTGTATGTTTATCTTATATCTTGACACTTTTCTATACTTGCTTACTGGTTCTGTCATTTTGTGGATTCCTTAGGGTTTTCTACAAGTGATTTTATATCATTCTTTTTGATTTGTATCTCTCATGTTTCCTTTTCTAGCCTTAGTTGCCCTGACTAGAACTTGCTGTACTGTGTTGAATAAGAATGATGGGTGAACATCCTTTATTTATTCCCAATTTTAGAAGGAACACAGTCTTTTATTATTAAGTGTAAGGTTAGCTTGAGTATTTTGTACATTTAAAAGATTCAATTTGAGGACATTTCCCCTGTATTCCCATTTTTCTAAGAGTTGGGATTATGAGTAGGTATTGAATTTTTTAAGATGTTTTTTCTTCATTGATTGATGTGATCATGTGATTTTTTTTTATCTTTAGCATGTTAAAGAAAAGCAGATTGACCTTTCAAACATTGAACCAATGTTGTATCCCTCTAATAATCCATTTGGTCATGGTATATATTTTTATCTGTTGTTACACTCTCTTTTGCTTGTATTGGATAGGAATGTTTACATCTATATTTATGAGAGAAAATGGTTTGTATTTTTTAAAAAACTTTTCCCCCCTAGTTTTGGTTTTGGGATAATAATGACTATATACTATAAATTGGGGACTGTTTTCTTCTCTTCTGTGTTCTGGAAGAGATTGCATAGAATTGGTGTTGATTCTTCATTAAAGCATCTGGTAGAATTCTCTAGTGAAACCATTGGGGCTTGTAGATTTTTATATTGGGAGTTTCAAAGTAAAAGTTTAGTTTCCTTAATTGTTATGAGACTCTTTGGATTGTTTGTTTTATATTGAATGAGTTCTCATATTTTCTGTTTAAGGAATTGGTCCATTCGTTTAAGTGATTACATTCATGCTACTATAGCTTTTTTGTTTTGTTGTGTTTCAGTTTTCCAAAAATTTTAATTTGAAGCCCTGTGATTTTAACCTCTCTTGGGTCAGACTTCTCCCTGATCAATGCCACATCTCTAGCCCTGCTTTCTTAGCAATTCTAAGAATTATGAAGGGAATTAAAAGGTATAATATGTTTTCTAATATGCTAAGTCTTGTGTTTTAGTAATCAAAAAAGCAGATTCCTCTCTGTACTTACAGTGGAGTAAGGAAGGGCATATGGCACCTAAATGCAAAGAGAACCATCAGTGGTTTCACCAGAGTGGTTTTACATTTTATTCTGATAAATGCTGTCTACCATTTACTAGAGTCTTGAATGTGTCCTTTGATACATCTGGATGTATGCTCTGATAGAACCAAAGGGATTCTGACTTATGATGGACTGTTGGAGGTGTGACTTTTGATCTATTTGCCTGAAGGAAAAGATTGATTATCTTCAAACTTAAAGGGGTAAAAACAGTGATAGGAAAGATCTAAAGCTCAGAATGTGTTAAGCACTGTGTTTATATCTCCTGCCCAGATGGATTACATCCTCATTGAGTTTCATAATGAGGACTCT